AAGGGTTTACAGGAGTCTATTGAATGTGGTAGGACTTAGCTCATAGCTTCATTGCTGTTTTTCCCTCACTTCTGAAAGGCAGAGATTTTTGTTTTTGTTTTTGTTCCTTGCCTTTTAGTCTTTGTCTAAGTGCCAGCTGTATCCCCAGCACCTGGCGCATATAAATGTTCAATAACTACTTGAAGAGTGAATGCAATGGCCAGGAACAAAGCCTAACCACTCTCCTTAGAACTCAGGAGATACCTCAATTTCTTTCTTTTAGGTAAACAATGTTTCATTAACAATGACCTGGTTCTTCCTGTTGTCTAATTTCAACTACTCTTGCTGCATCAGCTCTTTTCTTTTTATGCTTCTAAATACATTATTCATAGCTAGTTCTTAGCCCTGGTAATTATATTACCCCTTGTTTGCATATTTACTGGCTCTAACTTCTTTATGAGATCTTGACACCCTCAAAAATAGGGGTAAGCGTCCCATAGTATTGGCAAATATCCACTGACTTCACCAAGGGAAGGATGAATAACTGTAATTCAAAGCAATTGAGGCAGAGCAAATAGTCACTATTACTTCCTTACCTGATCACCTTTCAATTAACGTTACTAGGAGTCCTGGTGTGGCACTGTAGAATAAGCATGAACTGCTAACCAAAAGGTCAGAGGTTCAAAGCCACCAGCTGCTCCTCAGAAACCCTATACAGGGTTGTTGTGATTTGGCACCAACTGGAAGGCCTTAACAGCAATAGTAAGTACTAAGACTTACATTTCATTTCTGCTTAGGCTAGCAAAGGTTCAAATAAGCAAGAAAAGAAAATTATTGGGTAGAACCAGGAAGAAAATGAAACAAACAGAATGGAATAATAAACAAACTGCAAATGAAAACTCTAATGATACCTTGGTATAGAGTTGGCAACCAGACCAACAGGAGAGGGTCCACAGCACCTCCCTCTAGACCACCCCTCCCAACTGCTGTGCCCATTTTGGAAACCCTTCCTGTATCCTCACCTAAAAGTAGCTGTCTTGCCTGGATGATCAAGAAAGGGTCCCCTGGGGAACTTACTTAAAGATTAATATAGCTGGAGGAGGGTTTGGCTCAACAAAGAGGCCCAGCATTAACTTCCTCTGTGGCTGGAACAAAGTCAGAGGCAACTAAATCAGGACTCATTTCAACAAAGGATGGCTTTTCTATTTAGATCCCTGTAACCGGTCTAAGAAAGCAATCGCCAAGACCCTGCACTAAACATCTGTAAATCAAGATCTATGAGGGAATCTCCAAAAGTTCATGGAAAAAAGTGGAATTGAAAAATAATGGAATATTTCCATGAACTTTTGGAAGCCTCTTAGATAAGAAAACCAAAAAGTAATCAGAATTGTTACCATAGAAACCAGGCGGTGGTCGGGTGGCGGGGGAGGTCACTAAAATCTAATTTTCTTAACATCTAGATGCTAGGGAAGGAATACAGTCACTGAAAGAAATGGTCAATTTTCAACTGTTTCAAGAAGTAGCATATGATCAAGAGCTAATGATACTGAAGGAAAAAGTCCAAGGTACACTAAAGGCATTGGCAAAGAGCAAGGCTCCGGGAATCGATGGAATACTAATTGAAATCTTTCAACCAAACTGATGCAGCACTGGAGGCAATTATTCATATATGCCAAAAAATTTGGAAGAGAGCTACCTGGCCAATTGATGGGAAGAGATCCATATTTGTTCCCATTCCTAAGAGAGGTGACCCATTGGAACATGGAAATCTTGGGACAATATCACATGCAAGTAAAATTTTGCTACAGATAATTCAAAAATGGCTGCAACATTACATTGACAGGGAACTGCCAGAGGTTCAAGCTAGATTCAGATGAGGATGTGGAATGAGTGGATCTTGGCT